CATCTAGAGAATGGAATTCAGTTGTACTTCTTTTAATTTCCTTTTTTTCCCCTCCCCCTATCTCCATGGTGGTGGTGGAACTGAAGTACAAATATTTGTCTTTCCTGGTCTAACACGTTTTTATGCAGAGCTGAGAGCTCTCTCTTTATTCAGCTGTCTTATTGCTCTGTCTACCTTGAAACACAGGAGAAACTTCAAGGTCAGTCATCTGAGAAACAAAACTATCATGAGCCTGCTGGTGAAATCGCCCCCCTGCACACGGCAGAGCCTTGGCACTGGGAAGGAATGTGAGGAACAGAAGTCTCTGAAGCACTCCTGACCCTGCCTCAGCCCCACAGCACAAAAGGCAGCAGTGTGGTTATTGCTGACAAATATTTGTGCAGGGCCTGCCTTGTCCAAGGGAGCATTTGGTACACAAGTTTGTTTCCCAAGATGAGGGTTTCAGCTTGGAGGCTGCAGATGAAGTCTAGCACTATGTTGTACTGCCAGCCTCCTGCTGAGAGTGTACAAGGAAAGGGAAGGTGCAACTAGTTTTCTGTGGGGCTGGCAATGATCAAAATAAAGTTCCTCAGCAGTGCTGGCAATGCAGGAGTGACAGCAGCCTAGTTGACCTCATTTCTGCCCAGGCAAAACTTCCTCCTCATCTCACCATTGCTAAGTGAGTGGGGATGGATGCAGAGAAGGCTCATAGTCTTTGTGATGATTATAATTTTTAATTTAAAACACTGTTTTTTCACTGGAGTTCCTCTTGTCTCCACATCAAGTTTTGTGTTGGAAGGGGGAGGTATGTGTGATGGGAGCAGTGGTTCTGTAGCAGGGAAGGGTTCTTGCGTTAGAACTGCTTGTTTTAAAAATGAAATAACCTTTGGGAAGATGTGGAGGGGGAGCATATTTGAAATAAATAAATCACTTTTTTTTCTTCACCTCCTGCTTTTTTTCACTCTTGTAAAAATATTTTGCTGAAGGCAAATGCCAAATGTGTTTCAAAGGGAAAGATGGGATTAGTAGCATTGACTCAATAGTGAATTCATTAAATCTATAGCATGAGATTGTATCTGTTGTTTATATCAAGGCAAGAGAATCCAGGAGCAAAGCATGGATTACAAGTTTAAGATAGGTCAAGTAGAAGAAGACCTAAAAATCATAAACATCCATTCATAAGTGTTACGTTTTTATCCCTGTCCCTTGTGATGCTCCTGCTGGACAGTTCATCCTGCCAGGGAAAATTCTTTCTCCAGGACACTAATTAGGGTTCCTTCTAATCTGTAGCACTAAATTGGAGAGTGAGTGACAACAGATGAAGAGAAGCCCTGGTTGCAGTTAAATGGTAATTCTTTCTGCACTTTCCCAAGCTTCCTCATAATTGCACCTACCTTTTTCTGGACTTATGCCCAAGCTTATTTCCAAGTCATCAACCATTAATTGGGAAGTTCTTGTGCAGGTTTGGCCAGAAGGCAAATCCCACCTGTCTTGTTGCAGTGTTTGGCAGAAATAGCTGTCATATAAGATGCCCATCAACCAAAGCTGTTGGGAGCTGTTCCTGTATCCCTGAGATCCTCTGAGGGGAGAGCAGAGCTGCACCTTGGGATGGGGATCTGCCCAGAAGAGGCCCTGTGTTGCTGTGGGGATGGCAGCAAGGTACATAACTAGATGGGCTGGAACCTCAATTGCCATCTGTCCAGCTTCTTAATCACCCTGTTTGTTTCCTGGACTTTTATAATAAAGATATTGATGGGGTTACACTCAGTGTGATGCTCCAGATTGATCTGGGTATGTGCAAATGTAGTAGGAGCAGAGTTATTCATTGCAAGTGAATTGCTGGTGTATTGAGGTGAAATTTAAATTACATTGAGATCTTCTTAACGAGCTGCTCTGTAAGTTTTGCTTCTGATTTTCTGATGTTCCTCTCTGTGTGAGGCACCCTGTTTGAACATGGCCTGGAAAGGAGCTTTGCCTGTGTAGAGTGCAGAGAGAAAGGTTAGAGGGGGAAAAAGTGTAGTGGGATCCCATCTGTGAGTCCATACTTAGGCCATAGTTGGTCTTGCTTTGATGCAGCTTGGTGTTGCCCCAGATATCAGACCAAAAAGAGCTCAAGGCACATGAATATGGACTTTTAGGGGAGCAGGGCAAAGAAGCTATAACCAGCTGTAACAGAGAGCAAATACAGAGTGCTGAGCACAGTAAGGATGCAGAGAAGTCATTATGGTAGTAATATGGCATATACCAGTTTTCTTGTGTGTAATTACTTAGATTTAAAAGAGTATTGAGTCTTGAGACTCTTACCTCCCTCTCCTGATATTCCTATTTCCTACACTTCTTATAAGATAATGGAATCAGCAGCAAACCTGAATAAATGTTGTAGGTGGTGTATAATCAGCTTAGCTTTGTGGAGAGAGGGGAACCAAATGAGGGGTCTGGCTGCTGGATCACAGCAGAGGGAAGGGACTCCCACTTCTCAGGCTTTTCTCTGTCGGAGCATTAATCACCAATGCTTTTATTTCCCTTCCCTTGTGCTTCTCTAGAATAGATGGGAAACTTTCTTTTCTTACTGAGGATGATCAGTCACCGTAACAGGTCTCCCAGAGAGGTTATGGAGTCTCCATCCATGTTCAGCTGGCCCTAGGTGATCCTGCTTGTGCCAGTTCTGGTGCCCTGGTCCCAGTTCTGGTATAAGGAAGATATGGACTTGCTGGAGTGAGTCCAGTGCAGAGCCACAAAGCTGATAAAGGCATTGGAATACCTCTCCCATCAGGAGAGGGCTGGGAGGGAACTGTACTCATTTAATATACACATACTCATGTACAATTAAGAAAACCTGACTATCTGCAATATATGCATAACTCATGTCCTGGGTTATGGTCTGTATTTGTGCAGTCAGTGGAGAAGAGAATTTCCCAATCTCTGGCTTGTATTTATGGATAGTTGAGGATGCATGAGCCAGTAGTGATATTTGCTGTGAGTTTGATGTGAGTTCCCCATTGCATTGAGCTGATGTGCTGTGATGGAGAGTTCACAGAGCCATGTCCAGCCTGAGGCAAGCAAGAATCACTTCACCTGTGGAGGTGGGCTTGCTTGAACCTTTTTCATGGGCAAAAAGCTGCTGTACAGGTAGCTGAAATGTGTCTTTTCTGCAGTGATAGGTGTTTTCCCCATGGGTGGAGAATTGTTCCATGTCCTTGCAGGAGACTGGCTTGACCATTTTGTCTTCATGTTCCTTAGATTTGTTTTCTTGTTCAGTTCCAGTTGCTTCTTTCATGTCCTCACTCCCTGTCACAGCAAACACCAAGAAACAAGCAGGAGCTTGTTCAGCCCAGTCCCTGTGTTTCCAAGTCACACCAATGTGTGCTGGCTCGGCTCCCTTGGGGCAGCTGCAGGGACTAAGGAAGCCACTGAGTTATCTTCCAGTGCTGCTGTGGTGACACCCTTCAGGTTTTCCTTGTGTGTTTTGCTTTGTGCTGCTGTTTTTCTTAGCTTTGTTTTAGCACTTTATGGTGAAATATCCTTGGAAACAAAATTGCATATATAGTTCTTGTGACTGGAAGGAAAAACTGGAAAGCAGGCCAAAAGAGCTTTGCAAAGGTTTAGAAGCCAGAAGGCAATGAGAAAAGACACTCTTCTGTTTCAAGGGGGTTTTAATTAAATTATGTGTTTGTTTGTTTTGTTTTTTTTTTTTGTTGAAGATATAATTTTTTAGGAATTGGTGGCTGTTGCCTCTGTATTACGGTAATAATGTCAGGAAAACTGATGGTTATGGCTTTCAGGAAGGTGTTTTGTTCTACTAGATTCAACTCTCATGTGAGTCAAGAATCACCAAACAAGAATAAATAGGAAATTTTCTTTTACTTGGAATTGCAGAGGTAAGTAATTTCTCTGAAACTGGTGTCCCCAGGGTAAGGATAAGTTGCTGTCTCAGATAACTCTCCTTTTTCTAGCTTCCTAATTCTGTATGCTCTTTTCAGAATGTGCTACCTCCTTGACCCTTTACTCTTCTTGGAGGAATAAAATCAGAATATCTGTGAGAAGTATTTTACTGATCTAGTGAGAGTCTATTATAATCTTTCAGGATGTGGCAGGTTTAAAATGTGTATGTATTATCTACTTAATATGTTTTCATTATTTCAAGGCCTTTAGTTGAGATGGACTGTTTCTTATCATATGATGAGTTATGCACTCATGTATTTTGTATTCTTCATCAGTGTCTACAGTTCTGGAGAGGGAGCTGAAGGGATGCTGTTTTCAAATGGAAATGGTGATATTTCCATGTGGTACAAACAAACTTCTTGCTTCTCAAATAGTGAACTGAGGGTGTGTTACCACAGCTGTCCTACTTCTGCAACCACGTGGTGGCCAATGATAATGTAAGAAGAAATTTCAGTTGCTGGTGCAGTGGGCTGCATTACAACATTTCTCACAAGCAGCCTTTCTTGTCCACTTGAGGGCAGTCAGCAGTATATTCCTGTTTTGTTAGGTGGGATTATGGTCATATTGGAATTGTTTACATGAGAGCCCACTGCTAATCTGCTTTTTCATCCTTGGCTCTTGATGTCATCTTTGTGACTTTCCCAGTAATGTTGATTGAGTTTGGCACATAAGAGTCCTGGCAAGAAAATTGTTAGTTGTAGCTTTGAGTCTTTGTCTTGTGTGTCCACATGTGCTTGCTTAATTTTTGTAAGATAAGTTATGTAGGTTGCTCCCAACAGAAGGTACTGAACTCTCTTATGTATTCTGCATTTGTCCACTGTGTCTTGTCTGACAGTCACCTCTGACCTGGGCACAGGGCTGTGATTCTGGACTGCAGCATCAGCAGAGAGGCACTTCTATAAATGACTTCTGGATCTGAATAGTTAGTCTGGTGATAAACACTGCTGATCTCCCTGTGCATATTGTCAGCACCTAAGTCAGACTGGGGAAGGGGGAAGGGCTTTTCCCACCTAGATTTGGAGCTGCCTTGTTCTCCCCCTTCAGTTTATGCTCTCTTTCCCCACAGGTGGATGCAGTGAGGGTGTACGTGAACAGCAGCTCCGAGAACCTCCAGTACCCCGTCCTGTTTGTAGTCCGTCAGCAGAAGGGAGTGCTCTCCTGGCAGGTGCCACTGATCTTCCGAGGCCTGTAAGTACTGGGGGCTCTTCTTTGTGGCACACTCCTCTCTCTGCACACTCCTCTACCAGCTCTATTCATCAGCAGCCTCCCTCAATGCAGCATCTTGTAACCTGTGCACATTGCAGGGCTTGGTTAGTCCTTGCTCGCTGCCAGCTGGGTGTAGGGAGAGCAGGATTTCATAGGTCACCTCTCACCTGGCAGCCTGCTCTTAGCTTCTCAGATATGTGCACAGAGCACCAGGAGGCTTGTCTGCAGGGGATCTGCCTGTGGCACCAGTCACTGAATCTACCACACATTGTTGCTGTCATTCCACAGTTGCTGCTATGTGTGCACGTGGTTTCTGGGCTCTGGTTTGGGACAGGGTTTGAACAGGCTCTTGAAAGAGCACTGTAGCTTCTGTGTAACAGTGCATTTCTGGAAAAAGAGCTTCTGTTTCTCACCTCAGGAAGATTTAAGTTTATTCTAGGGAGTGGTTGTTTTGGGGCTGCTGCTTTATGAAAGCAATGCTGCTTTGTATCTTCATTAACCCCAGGGCTTGGTGGGCTGCAAATAGAGAATTTTCAGGCACCTTAGTCCATTTCAGAGGTGAAGCTTCATCCTGTGACTGAATCCTGGTGCCAGCAGCAGATATCCTGCAGTGTTTTGCCTGATGCAGGTGATGGGTACAGCAGTGGCTGTCAGTGCTCTCTTTGCCTCCACTAAATGGCAGATGTTAGAAATCCACAGCTGTCGTGGCCATCCCCGAGGGAAGTGAAATGTTGATGATGACCAGTCCCTTGGGCAGATTGCCAGAGGCAACAGAGGTGGAGCTTGAATGCTGAATAAAAGAGTGAATGCTCCTGGGCTTTTAGATGAGAATTTCAGTTATGCAAACAGAGGCAAAATTATGCCATTCTTAATAGTGCTGAAAAACTTCTTAACTGCTCTCTCTCTCTCTTTCCTATCCAACCTTCTCTTCCCTCCTTTCCCTGGCTGTTGTAGCTATCAGAGGACCTACAATTACCAAGAAGTGAGTCGGACCCTGTGTCCCTCTGAGCCAACACCTGAAACAAGACCCTCTGAGCAGATCATATTTGTGGATGTGGCTTCCATGGCACCGTTCAATATTGCATATGAGCTGCTAGTCACCAGGCTGGAGAACTTCCAACTAGAGTAAGCTGGGATGTGAGAATACAAATGCAATTTCTTCATGTATCACTTGAACATCACTTAAGGGACTTGGTCCATCTGCCTACTCTTCCCTTATTTTTCCTTCCTAGGGGAAAAAAAAAATTCTTTTGTTTAATCTCAGGGTACTTTGGGTGTGTTCCAGCTCTAAAAGTTTTAGACTTCAACATTCCGGCATTTGTTTTCTAGGACCAACAAAGCTTTTAACTTCACTGCCAGCCCTTCCCAGCCCCAGGTAAGGAGGAATCCTGTGTAGATTGCTTGTATGTCTTACCACATCCAAGTGGTTGATGTGATCTTTGATCTTTCTTTATGAAGTTCAGAGTTATATGCTAAAACAGTACAGAATCTAGAAAGTATGAAAGCTAAAACTTAAGGCATCAGTATGTCTGTTAGTTCAGAAGGAGGCATGTATGAGCAGCCCCTCCAGCTGAACAGCTTTGCTTAGAGCCCTGCAGATACAAATCCCCTCTTGGATGAAAATGCTGTTGGCAGTAACTGTAGAGCTATAGGAACTTGTAGAGCTAGGAGGGTGTGTGATTTACCCAGGCTTCTGGGACTCTGTTTTTGTTGTTGCTTTCACTGTTAATAACACCATTTAATTCTAGGTTTAGTATTACCAGGCATCCTAGCTAATCCTTTTTCCTGACAAATGTCTTAATCTGGTTTGCAGATTCATACAGTGTTTTATACTACAGAAGCATAGGGAATGATGGTGACTCTTTGTAAGCACTCATTACTTAGGATTTTAGAATATTTAGGATATGAAATTAACTTTGTGACTGTGGTCTGATTTTTTTGTCACAATTAATAATATGAGATTTATGACTTTTAATTAATAACCGGGTGTATGGAGTAGAAGACTGCTTCTTAATTGGTATAATGCTGAGGTTTTTGTAAATCAAAGTATTAAGCAGTCTATAAGGGGAAGAAAAAAAAGATGATTTAAAACCTAGATGGGTATTGTAAAAAGAGGTAACAACTGAAGGAGATGTTGTCTGGAGCCCAGTTTGTGCCTGAGGGCAGAAGCAGAAATTGGATATGCTTGTATAGGTGAGAAGTGTTGGCTGGACGTGTTTTTAACACTTGCAGTGTGTGCAGCAGAGAACTGCTGGCCTCAATGCCCTTGTGTTAATTCTGTACCTTGGTGCAAGCATGGCTTAGAGGAAATTACAGAAGAGTCCTCATGGACTAAAAGGTGATCCTCATGCCCGTAGAACTTTCCAAGGGGAAAAGTGCCCCTGGGAAACCAAGGAGCTCAGTCTGCTTGTGTCCTTGCTTGGTACAGACAAAACTTGCTCTGCTAAGGAAACTGGCTTGGTGAGTTTGCACTTTGTAGGGTCTTGTGGTTGGAGCCATCACTCCTTCAGCAGGGAAGGGACCCTGCTTGGGGAGGGGTGCTGGGAGTAAGTGCTTTAGTAGAAATGGGCAACTTGGAAAAGGCTTGGGTGATTTCCTGCTTGTCCCTGCCCTCCCGCTTCGGGGCTGTAATTCCTGGGGTTGGCATGGGGGAAGAGAAACAGGAAACAGCTGGCCCTTGCTCAGCACTGAAGTTTATGTGCCAGAAAGGGAGCTCTACAGTTGGGAAAGTCTGAGGTGATGGTTTTGGAGCAGGGGTGGTGGTAGCTCCCAGTGTGGCAGCAGTGGCTGCCTGGTGACCATATGGAAGGGAGGAAGGTGGCTGGTGGCACTCCTCAGCCTGTGTCCCTCTGAGGGGGTGTGAGTGCCCATCAGCCCCTCAGGGTAGCTGTGGCTTGGAGGCTGAGCTCTCAGGGTCTGGCCTCCAGGTGGGATGATGGGAGCCCTTGCAAGATACATCCTGCTGGGGCAGGTGCAGGAGCCACACTTCTCCTGCAGTGCATCAAACCTTTTACTGAACTAATATACAAATAATGATATTGCCTGGGACATCTTTTGCCCAGATCTGGAAAAACAGCTTTTTCCTAACCCCACAAACTGTCCTGTGGGCCTGCTCAATGAAGGAGATGCCATTCCTTTCCCACCCCCTCTCCCTGGAAAAGTAGGAATATTGCCAGATATTAGTATCTCAAGAATTTTTTTAGAGTTACAGCTGCATTATTTTCAAAGCTAAAGTGCAAAGAGAAACCCCCATTATGCTTTGCCATCAAACCAAACAAACAACCCCAAATCCCTCAACTAATATCAATATTTTATTTATGAAACTCTTGACAGTTTCAGCCATTTGACCTAATACTGTTCATGGTCTGTCTTTGAGGCAACCCATTTGAGAAAGCTCCATGATGTTTTCCATGTATAAAAGTACAGCCAGCAGTATGGAAACATCTGGAAATTGCTCATATCAAGGTAAAATGGAATGGGGTGTAAAACAAAGTCACTTTAGCTTCATCAGGTGGGAAAAAGTGAAGGGATCAATGCTGTATTTTGCACATTGAAGATGTTTGTGTCTAATAGCATACTGTGCAAGGGGGACAGTTGCCTGTATATATTTGATCTGCTCTTCTGTAGTATAAGGTCCTAATATTTGAAATCTGATTTTTTATGAAAGCCATCCACATCCAACCCCAAAGCCATCTAGGGCTGTTGAGGTAGCTTAGGAAGGTGTTGAAGATACTGCCAAGGGTGATTTCTGGATCATGTCTCTTGTACTCTGCTTTCTCTACAGTACTTTCTGTACAAATTTCCTCCGGATGTCGATTCAGTCATTATTAATGTGGTGTCTGAGGCAGCCTACCCATGCTCAGTTGTCTCTGTGCAGGATATTGTGGTAAGTCTGAGCAGAGAAGGGTAAGGAGCTGCCTGCTGGAACTGTGTCCAGCTCTGAGGGGTCTGGGCCCTGCAGAGGGAAAAGCCCAAGGCAGGGCTTTGCCCTGGTGGTGGTGGTGAAGGGAGCCCCTGAAAGCGGAATGAAAATTCTGTGGGAAGGAGGCCAAGACAGGGATGCTGAGTTCAAGTAGCTCATACAGAGACTTTTGTTTAAAACGGTGAACAAGCTGTTCCTTTCTAGCCTATCCATAGGGAACACATTCCAGAGAGGGACTTTATGTCTCCCTTGTGAGGTTCCCTGAGATATGGGTCTGTCTCTCCATGGAGGGTGTTGGGTGGAATGTTGGTGGCTCAGGGAGGGAACAGTGCTTTTCCCTTGACTCTCCCCTGGCTCAAGGCAGCTTGGGGAACTTCTGATTTTCAGACACACGATATCTTTCTTCCTTGAGTTTTGCTCCTTTCTGTATATTTCATCCCCTTTCCTGGGGTGTTCCCTGTCATGGAGGTTGGCTGTTGCTTGTAGCTGGGAAATAGCCCCATACTTACTCTCTTTTCCCACCTCCCTGAATATTGCAGGGGGCTGCAGTATGGGAGCAGAGAGAGATGCAAGAGGTTTTATTCCCTTGGATATCCCAACTGGGGCCTTTTTTTGCTGTTCTCTGCTGTGTTTTCCAGCTGGCTTCCTTTGAAAATAGTTTGGATGTTGTCCCTGGTTTAACCCTTAGTTGTCTGTTTTAGTGCCCAGTGTATGACCTGGACCATAATGTGGAATTCAATGGAGTTTATCAGTCTATGACAAAGCAGGCAGCCATAACTGTGCAGGTGAGATGTTGATTTGTATCCCAGTGTTTTTTGCTGCCTGTGTAGCAATTAAAACCTGATCTCTGGCCTGTTGGAGTGGAGAGGCTTTGTGTCTTATGGATTTTCTGTCTTCTTCCATCCTTCTGTGCAGAGAAAAGATTTCCCAGGTGAGCAGTTCTTCGTTGTGTTCGTCATCAAGCCAGAGGATTATGCCTGTGGGGGTTCTGTGCCTTCTTCAATTCATGGTGAGTTGTTCTGGGAGGTGGATTTGATTGCTGCATCTGAGTGATGGAGCAGTGGGTGTCTTTTGGGACCTTCCTGTAGGATGCCACTGGGTGATTATGTAGGTCTGTCTTACCCAGGTAGTTGTGAGGAAGAGTGAAGTATCAATTTGATGTTGTTGGGCAGGTTGAAAGTCTCGATGTGGCAGGAGGTGGCTGGCTAGTACAGTGCCTGGCATGCTGGGGTTAGGTGCTTTTCAGCAGCACCACTGGGGCCTTGGGAGACACTGGAGTCATCCAGGCAACGCTGCTTTCAGCCTTTGGTTTGGTTCTCACCTCTGCTCCCTGCTGCTGTATTATCCTCCTGGCTGCATGGAGTCTCAGTTCCTGCAGAGAGCATCTTCTCCAACTGCTGTCTTGGGATCTGTGACAGCTCTGAACTTGGGGGAACAGGAAAAATCGGTAATTCTCGGAGAATAATTTTACAAAAGACTTGTTCTAGTGTCTTTTCCAGCCAGAAGACAGTGTGTCCACTTGCTGGGCAGTGGTAAAAGCAAAGTCTCCACCACTCATGCAGTGGCTGTAACTGGAGTGGGAACATTCCTGTTCTCAAAGCCTCAAAGCTTCCTCCCTGTAGAAGAAGCAAGACTGCAACCAACAGATATATTGGTCTCCCTCAACAACTTTTTACTACTCCCCTGCCACCTTTCTGCCCCAATTTTCCCACAAAAAAACCCTGTGCCCTTTGGAGTGTCATTCTCACATCCTAATGCTGTTGGCAGGGCTGTACTGGCCCGGTGTGCTAAGCCCTGCAGAAACAGAGTGAGTTTCTGGAGTGGCATCCTGCACAGAAATGTTTTACTCACAGGGATTTGGCCAAAGGCAAAAATGGACTCCCACTACCTGTAATGAGAGAACCTCTCCTTTGGGGATTAAATGAATAGGAGATGAGATGCCTTTGGGATTCAGGATCCAGAATTAAGCAATATATGGATGGCTCAAGCAGGGATTTCTAGTCTGAAAAAAAGTTTGTGAACAGGGAAGAAGGGGGAAACATTTGGGAGAAGCTGTATATTGATAGATCAGAGAACATTTTAAAGCAAAACCACCCACACATTTTAGTGAAAAGCCAGACCCTGTTGTTTTTGCAAGTTCAGAGAACCAAGATCAATGCCAGAAATCATTAATGTTGATTGTTTTTATATTTTCTGTACACTGTGCATCTCACAGGGAATGTCAACCGTACCTGGAACCTGCAGCGGACAAAGAACCTTCAAGTGACAATTCTGCCCTCCATTAAAAGTCAGTGTCTTTGGGCAGAGCAATGCAACTTTGCAGGGCAACTTGGCACTTCTGAATACAGGGGTGTGACTGGGCCAGCAGCCTCTGAAGGAATGGTGCAGACAGCCCCAGCAAAGGAGTCAGAGCCACCTGGAGCCTGCTCCCTTCAGGAAGGGCTGTGTGCCACACCAGCTAGCACTGGGGCTGAAGAAAGGGGGGGGAGAAAGGGGGGTTCTGTCAATTCCTTTTGAAGAAAGCAAATGGGTTTGGAAGGGCTGTTTGGGGCTGGGCATTTTTACAAGATGGTATTGGGAAGAGTGCTGACCCTGAGAGGTGCTGTTCCTGCTCTGTGAGCTGACTGATCCCTTCTCTTTCCTCAGAGTCTGTTTATGTCCAGGCCATGTTCTTCAGCTTCCTGAGTTTCCTCTCCTTTTACCTGGGCTCAGTGGTTGTTGCTTTTGTGCACTACATTAGGTGAGTCAAGGGGTTATAAAAGAGCAGCCTTTCTGTTTCTTTTCATCAGGGACACCACACCCTACGGAAAATTTGGGATGAGTGGGGTGGCAAGCATCTAAGCAGAGCAGCTGAAGAAGTCCATGCCTACTCAGTGGGCTCCTGCTGATCATCAGCCAGAAAATACTTCTTCCTCTGCTATGGGGACCATGGGAAGGAGGAAAATCTAAGGGTCTGCCCTCCCAATCTTGTAGTGCCCCAGCCCTGTGTTTTCTTATGTAAGGACACTGGGCAGCAGGTGGGAATTGTGAAGGGACCAGTCTGGGATATGGAGTGTGAGAGCATGCTGGACTGAGAACTGCAATCAGTGGCAGTGATACAAATTGGGCCTTAGAGTCCCAAGAATGCTGGTTTCCTTCCTTACCTGCCTCCCCTGCCCCAAACTTTGGTGTCTGGGCTTGTGTTGAGAAGAATGTCTGCATGGGCATGGCTTAACTTCAAGACACATCAATGAAAATACAATTCATTGGAACAATTCAATTAAATTCCTCAAGTATGTGCTCTTACCTGCTGATATTTTTCTGTGTTGTGGTAATATGTTGGTAGGGTTTTTTGGTTGGTTTTTTACTATCTTCTTTCTGCTTGACATCTGCATTGACAGGGGTGATATGGGCTTCTTAAGCATTGTGCTAGTGAGTGCCTCTAAATCCTGCTGCCACTTCAGGAGATTCATACATGTTTGTTCCCCTGAGCAGGAAAGATGGGTTTGGAAAGATGGTGTGAGAGTCTCTCCCAACATACTGAGCAGTCTAGGATGAGATAAGTAATGGAAATGGTTGTCCTGCCTCAGGTGGATAGCTGAGGGGATTAAAAGCCCTCTGTTGCTTTGGAAGTTAGAGCGACAAACAGCAAGCAGTCATGGCTGAGTTGTGTCTAGTCCAAGCAGTATTTTTCTTTTTGTTGTTGAGTGTGTTTATTTCTTTTGTGCTTATTTTTGTTGGTTTTATTTGTTTTTTTAGAACTTGTGCCATATTTACCTGTTGGTGTCCTAGATAATCCTGCCATGGGTGGCAGGTGCTGAGATTTGTTGGCTGTCTCATGAGTGCTGTCTGTTGCTTTGCAGGGTTCAGAGGAAGGCTTCAGCTGGGAGATTGAGCCCTGAGCATGGTAAGGTCTCTTCTCTGTCGTGTGACAGCTTTGAGTGAGCAGCACAGGCAGAGGACAGGCTGTCAGTCCAGTACCTTCTGTCCTGGAGCTGTCTTCCCTGGTAGCTCACACAGTCTCTGGTGCTGAGGAAAGATGTTAGAGCTTCCTCTCTGCCCTCACAAGAGAGTCCTTTGAAACCAGCTGCCCCGAACCTGGTCCTGACTCCTGCCCCTAGGAACTGCCTTTAAAGGGGTGGAGGAAGGCTAAGCCTTGCCTGGACCTGGCTACAGGCTGATGTTCCTGATGCCAGGTCTGCTGATTTTTAAACAAGGCACTTTTGAGTATCTTGGCTCTTATGCTTTAAGAATTCCTCTGCCTGGTTTAAGCATGGGGTCTTTTAATTGAATTTAAATGTTAAATTGTTTTTCACTGGACGTTGCAGACAGCCAGCTGAATGAATGACTAACAGAGTTAGGTAGTGGTGTTTATGATATTTGTGCTGGCATTGGATTCAGTTTACTTTGTGCTGCACCCACATTTCCACAAGCTGCAGCCTTCTGCCTTATAAAAACAGGGCTGCATCTAAGAGGCTGCCAGTGAAAGATGGAGGTTTTTGTCATGTGGATGGGGGGCACTGGGAGTTCTTGCTTTCTGGTGAGGCATGGGAGTCTTTTCATTTTGATTAAATATTTAGTGCCTGCAAAGTAGTTCAAAGCATTGGTGCTGAGGTCATTTGTACCTCTCTCCTGGAGGAAGGGAGGACATAGTCTTGGCAGCAATGAGAGGTCCTTGATGTTATTCCTTTTTTGATGTGAGCATTTTCAGTCTCTCTGGTCTGCTGCATCCCATCAGATAAGCATGGTAGCATAACTGAGCTGTGTTTAAAGGATCAGCAGTGGAATTTCACTCTGACTGGCATTAATTGGCTTAATATTTCTGCTGAGGGCCTGGGGACATTAGAATTCTTAGACTTGTTTTGTCAGCCACTAAAAGATCCACGTGTACCCCTGTATTTGGAATACACGTAAAAGGGTTTTTTTTTCACAGCATGTACAGGGAGCTGTAAAAGTGTCCGTAAATATAATCTCATTTTATATCATTTGGGATGGATCCTGCTGTAGAACAAGAGCAGGTCTTAGGGCACTGGAGCAATGGGAAAGGCCTGTGTATTGGGAAGCTGGAGTAAGCTGAAGAGACCTGTCCAAGGCTGTGGGAGAGCTCCAGGGTGCTGACAAGGAATCACTGTCTAAGACAAGGAGGCACAGTCTCAGCCAGGTGAGACCAGAAGTCCCAGGGAGTGCTGCTGATGCTGCAGCTGGGGTTTAATGTGCTGAAGCCAACTTAGAAACTGCCTTCTAAACTGCCCTGCTGAGAGGTGGAGGTTAAATTCTGGTGTTTGGAAAGTTCCCAAAAAGCTGCAGGGCGCAGATGCTGGACTTAGTATGGACCTGGAGAGTAGAGAACTGGGTTGCTGAGCAGGGAGGACTGCTGAACAGCAGCTCTATGGAGGGAGAGAGGAGCACAGTTCCTTCATAGTTTACAGCTTTCCTCCCAGAGGCACCTGCTGCTTCTGTGACCTGTCCTCTCCCTTGTAATGCATTCCACTTTCACATACCTGGCACTGAATGTGCAGCCATGTCATTTCCTCTGGGGAGGAATCATTGCTACCCACACGCTGTTTCTTCATCTATTGTCTCTTCAGGGTGTGTCTGACTGATGCTTATAAAATGGTAATTAGCAGCTTCCCTGTCTTCCAGATCAGTGGACACACTGGCTTTCTCTCTTTGGTTTTTTTCCTCCCCTTCCCACCCTTTGGAATTTCTTTCCTTCCCAAGTACTCCTGGATCTTGCCTTCTTCATTACTCCCTATTCCTTTTCCCCACCAAGGAGCTGGATGGAAGTGCTCAGCAATGTGTCTTTGCCATTGGTCTTGGAATGTCCTGCCACTCCATGTGCCTCCTTGCTCTTGTTATCCATCTTATATCTGGCCTCTGTGGTTCACTTTTTTTTTTTTAATCCCATGGCACACCCTCCCTTCCGCATCCTCACTGTTTGGTGGAGGCAATAGCTGGAGGAACCACGCCTGGTGTGGTAGATTTACTTTGCTGACTCACTCTCACAGTGGCAAGTGGGATGGAAATTAGTGGGTGAGCTGGGTCCAAAGTAGCTGTTAGAGTCAGGGCAGAGTGCTTTTTCTCCTTGGCTTGCCTGCTTTGTCCAGATTGAAATCTTTGGTAACTTGGGAGAATAAAGGTCACTTGAGAGAATAAAGCCTGGTCTAAAATTAGGAGGGAGTATCCTCGTGGAACAGGACAGACAGGCCTAGGAATTGTGCTTGTACCTTGCTGATGTGAACATAAGGAAATGCTTTTGCCCTCTTCCCAGTGATCCGGATTTCCAAATGACTTTTAAAGCAACAGGAAAAGCTTTCATGAGAGAGGGAGATTGGATTGGAGGTGTTGAGTAGAAGCTGCATCTTGCTCATGCCTCAACCTACAACAACATCCTACCAATCTCAGCTCAGGGCTCAAGGGCTGTCACCTGGGGCTGCAGTGTGCCAGAGCCCTCCCTCTGGTGCTCAGTCCATGCCATGTTCCCTTCTGACACTCCTCTGAGCTGTTTGTTTTCTCTGATAGAGAGGTGGGGCAGGAGCCTAAAAGAGCCAAAATTTGAGACCAAGTCTTAGCCCCCAGCCCAACAAGCACAGCAGACATGCAAAAACAAAAGCAGTAATTGTAAATTGAAATATCAAATATCATTGCTGGATGGGTGCTTCTCTGACTTGGGGTCAGTCAGGGACAAATTTTAGATCTCTCTACGTTTGTGGCTGATGAAAATGGTATAAAAAGCTATGTAAGGTGTTACAGAAATGCCCAGAATTTCCAGTTGGAAAGAGCACTCTGTGCCTGTCACTTTGAGACCAGTCAGGTACTGGGAAGCCAGAGCTGCAGCTTGGGAAGCCAGGCCATTGCCAGGCTGCAGTAAGGCTTTAAATACTGTGCCATGTTCTGCATTGCTTTGCCACTGACTGCCCACATGAGATTGTTGCAGGCATGAAGATTTAAAGCAACTTCTTAACCTGTCTCACCGTTTGTCACTACTGGAAAACATGGTCCTGTTCCTGCTGCCCTTGCTTCCCTCCCTTTTGTGACTGACCTCTCAGTGAAGGGATTCAGCTGGCTTTGTTTCCTGCCATGTAGGTCAGCTGCTGAGCTCCACCATTGGGAGCAAAAAGAGGGAATGTGGAGGCAGGAGAGCACTCCTCCTTGCTTCATATATGTGGGCAGGAGGCAGGATGTTCCTAGCCCTCAAAGGCTTTCCCTTCTTGTTATCAGCACAAAATCATTACCACTTTTTGCATAAAGCATTTTTTTGTTTCTCCTTGATAGGTTAAAATTATGTAGCAGCTGTCTGCCAAAGTCTGTGACCCTTTCAGAGATAGCTGAAGGCAGCAGGATTTGAAGAGATTTGAAGAGTTGCATGAGATGGGGAAAGAGAAGAATTAGAAATTCAGAAGGCTGTTAAGAACATCATGAGACTTGCTCTAAAATTTACCAAGTCTTGCAGCCCCACAGTGTGATCTGTACAGGGCACTGGAGGGGGCTCCTGCTGCCAGTCTCACTGGCACCCTGTGTGGGGAGGCTGAAGGAAATGGGTTTCCTTCACACTGCAGAACGAGGGTTTCCCTTTTGCACAGTATGCTCTAGAGGGAGACTGCCATCTGTTTAGAGAAATGTTCCTTTCCCCAAGCCCCTCCAGCTCTTCAGGCTGTTTGTGTTCACCTCAGAGATGTTTAGAAGCACTGACATGAAACTAACTGTCCCTCCTGGGTCTGTTTCATTGCAGGATCTGGGATGATGACTTCTTCACACCCCATCTCAGCCAGCACTCCTGAGGGAAGCAGCTATGGTGCTATTGGTACAGTATATTCCAGAATTGGGGCACAGGGAGGCTTCTCCCTGGGGTGGAGGAAGGCATTTTTAGGGTGATTTAACACCAGAGGAGAATAAAGCTGCAAGCTACTTTAGGAGCGTCTTGCAACTATTAAAAAACAAAGCAAAACAAAACCCAAACAACCAAATTGCAGTGAGTGAGGTTCAGGTTGCACTTTAGGGAAAAGCATCTACATAATAAAAGTGGGAAATCTGAAAGAGGTGCCCTAAGAGACTGTCTTTGGAAATGTGTCTTAGACAAAGCTACAGTCACCTGCAAGCTGTGGGTGACAATGCTGCTTCAGACAGGACATTTACTAGTGACTGGAAAAGGTCCCTCTCAAGCAAGCTTCTAGGAGCCTGTTATTAGCTCACAGCCTGCGTTTAAACCAAAGCATGCTTGTCCTGGGAGGCTGAAGGGTTGTGTGCCATAAAGCAGGACACAAGCAGAGTTTCTTGCCCCCAGGGGTTTCACTAGGGAAGAAGTAATGTCATACTACCAACAGGTGAATCATGCCCTGGAGGCAGAGGAGAAAAAAACCTTCCTGAGGGCTTAATGACTTTACCCCTCCTTCCCCTTTTTCCAAAGAAATCTTCTAAAAGCATTTGGGAAGTGAGGCAAAATCCTGTGTTCTGCCCATGTCCATGTGGGCAATGAGCTGGGAGTTGCCCAGCCTGTGGGAAGTGGAGGCAGGTCCTGCTAACCTGTATGTGACCCAGTACCAGGGATGCAATGGGAATAAAGCTGGTACTCCGCTTGCTTTGAAAAATCGACTTTCTTCTTTGTCTTTTGTTCTACAGTATTTTTAGAAAAGCTTAGATGTATATAAAGCTTACATAAAATCTGAAGGTTAACTGAGTGTGGTTTTGACCCCTAACAGTCTGCTTCTTTCTTAGAGGTATTTGTCTTGTCTCAGAATTCCAGATTTCAGAGCCTGGGCTAGTAGAGAGTAGAAAATGTTAAGAGATGAAAAGTAATAGAATAAAAGTAGAGTAAAACCTAAAATGCTGCAGAGAGGGGAAGATAATGGTCCTTCAAACTGCTCTTAGCTGAGCACCTAAAACTTCTGGAAGGTTTGGGATCATGTGTGGCAATGTTCCTCACTCGGGGTTCACCCAATGTGGAATTTTTCTTCACTCGCGGTCACCAAATGTGGTGGTGTTCACAGGGGTCCCAAGACGAGGGAAGAGATGAGAATCTGACTCCATGTTTTAGAAGGCTGATTTAGTATTTTATGATTCATATTATATTAAAAGAAAATGATATATTAAAACTATATAAAAAGAATAGAAGAAAGGATTTCATCAGAAGGCTTGCAAGGAAAGGAAAGGAATGGAATGATAATAAAATCTTGTGACTCTCAGACAGTCCAGACAGCTGGACTGTGATTGGCCATTAATTAAAAACAACCACATGAGACCAATCACAGATGCACCTGTTGAATTCCACAGCAGCAGATAACCATTGTTTACATTTTGTTCCTGAGGCCTCTCAGCTTCTCAGGAGAAAAAAATCCTAAGGAAAGGATTTTTCATAAAATATGTCTGTGACAATCGTGGAAAAATTTTTTCCCTGAACTGACCCTATCAACTTGTCAAAGCATGCAAGCACCTGGGACTGCTGGATTCTTGCTGTGCACAGAGGGATTTAGCCCTTACCCTGTGTGTCTCCTTCTCCCTGCTGTGGCCCAGACGAGTCCAGCTCCAGTGGTGCCCGGCAGCTGTCCTCCCTGGAGCGCAGGGCCCCGGCCGGCTCGGACACTGACAGCTCCGTGGAGGAGGAGAGCGACTTCGACACCATGCCAGAGATTGAGAGTGACAAGAACATCATCCGCACTAAGGTACGGCTGGTGCTCACCCGTGGGCACCTCTGGGCCATGACCAGGACTGGTCACGTCAGTGAAATCTCAAAAGTCCTCTTCCCTTTCACAGTGGATTTCATCCAATACAGCTGAGTGTGCTTCTTAGTCTTTTTTCAGTCATTGGAAGTTTTCCCACTGTGATAAGAGTGCTGGTGAAGTGAGTGCTTTAATATGGAAAATCAAAATGTATTGGGGACTATCGAGAAAGGAGGAAAATACCCAGAGAAGTTCAAGGAGATAGGAAGATAGGGAGAAAATAATCTGCAACAGTAGGTGGCTATTTAGTACAAGGTGACTACAGTGGATGTATGGAGGAGCTTTAAGACAGCAGCTCTCAAACTCCTCCCTTTGTCATCCTGCACTGCTCTGTGTGGTTGGAGCCATCCCTGGAGGTCAGAGGATTTTGCAGAACTCACCCCCATAGAATCAAGGGACACAGTGAGTTCACTGTGTAAAACCAGTTCAAATATCACCAAGCTGCAAATATGTCAAGATCTCCTACTGTCATCTGTAATCTACATTAGTTCTTTTGTGTTTTCTTCCCTCTTTCCCCACCTGATAATGTTTTAGGTGTTCCTCTATCTCTCAGATTTGTCCAGGAAAGACCGAAGAATTGTCAGCAAAAAATACAAAATCTATTTCTGGTAAGGAGAAGGCAAACTGGTAAGATCCAAACTCTGGACCCAGAGTCTCTGGTTGTGGAGTCTGTCTGCATGCCTTTCTTCTGAACCACTTCTGAACTACCCTGTTGCCCATTCTGACCCTGTTCCAATCAGTAACTGCAGATCCCACATACCTCAAGTAAGGACATTTGTGGACCAGTGCACACATGATCCTGGAAGTGGATTCTGTTTTGCATCATTTACTTTTAAGCATGGTAACAAGCAGTGCACTGAAACCTAATGGGAATGGGGAGAAACTGGCACTCAGACACATGAGCTTGTGGCCAGCATCCTGGTTTTTCCTGTGCCCTTAGCATTTGCCTCTGGTTTTCCTCCTGTGTGCTCCTCTGCTTCAGGGGCTCGCAATGAGATCATAACCCCAGAGCAGTGAGGTGTGCACATTCCTCCATGAGCACTCTGGGGCTTTCTTCTGGGTGTGCCCCCCTGGTTTTGGTGTGTGTGTAAGTGCTGCTGCTGTCTCCTCTCTGCAGGAACATCATCACCATCGCGGTGTTCTATGCCCTGCCGGTCATCCAGCTGGTCATCACCTACCAGACGGTGCGTTTGGCCCCATGGCTGCCCCCTCTTGCTTTAAACTTGCCCTGTGGTTGTGTTGGGCAAGGGGGACAAGTCACAGTGGAACTGGGATCACCCAGGAGTTCTGCTCTGTGTGAGGAGCAGTTTACCTTCGCTGCTCCTGCTGCACTGTGTTGTTACAGTGAGCTTGGCTCATTGGGCTTGCATTTCTGCTATTTCTGCTTGGGAAGTGGGAGTGCTGCTGTTTTCCTGATCAACTGATGTCTCATTTGGGTCCTGTTTCATTTTAGAGACAGGAGGAATTTGATGTTATCTCTAAGGGATAGCTGAAAGCAAGTAGTGTTTGCTGTGATTTCTCCTGCCTTCTCCCAACCTTTGCTATCCTGCTGTTATGCAGATATCTGCAAGCAGGTCTATTAGTGGGGGGTTGAGAGCACACAATGTTTCCTCTGAAGACTGTTAACAGATTTGTGGCCCTTGACAACATCTTGTCCCACCCTAAAAGCTTTGCTTGCACATGTCAGTACTCCCTGTGCTGGCTCTAAAGCTAGGCTGTGTCCTGGTACACCTTGTGTTTGTGCCCTGTTTGCATGGGGCAAACCCCCCAGAGCAGGGAGGATTTGCTAATGGCAGGCCTCCCACCTGCTCTCTGTCCAGGTGGTGAATGTGACTGGCAATCAGGACATCTGCTATTACAACTTCCTGTGTGCTCATCCCCTTGGGGTGCTGAGGTGAGTGAGCCTTTCCTCACTGCATACTTGTCTCATGCCTCCTGAGTGTTTGTGCTGTGCCCAGGTCAGGATTTTATGCTTGCCAGGCTCACAGTAGCAATGTTGATAAGACCACTGGGAGTTTAGGACTCTGATCTTTGTGTTTTGCTCAGCAGTGCTGCTCTGTTGCAGTGAGACATACTTACCCTAGAACTTGTGGCACCTGGGTGCCCCTTACAAATCCTTAGCACAGCAATGAGGTGCTCCTGTGCTCTGTTGGACACTTTTATACAAGGAGCAGCAGCTCTGCAAAGAAGTTCAGATCAGTCTTCCAGTGTAGCATTTCTCTAAATTAATGTGTGAGTGCAAAGAAAGCCCAGAGTTGGGAATCTCTCAGAAGTGTTAAATGAACTGGGACAGGTGAACTATTCAAATTAAAATTCTCATCTAGAGTGTTAGATTGCAGTTTGGCAGCTGCTGAGGTGGAAGGTGGTGGAGCGGGGAGCAAAATGGATTCAGCTTATCACAACCCAGGGTTCAGCTTCCTGCTGCTGTGCTGCCTTTGTCTTAAACCTTCTTCTTTCCTGCAGTGCCTTCAACAACATCCTCAGCAATGTGGGCCACATGATGCTGGGCTTTCTCTTCCTCCTCATTGTGTTGCGCAGAGACATCCTCCACCGCCGGGCCATGGAGATGAAGGATATCTACACCCTGGTAGGAGGCATGACTGCCTGGGGCTGAGTGGAGGCAGGGAACATGGAGTGAACTCAAAAACCAGAGTGATATACAATGGGTTTCCACTTGTCTTCCTCACTGGAGTGTTGAATCCTCCTCCTTTTTCCCTCCTGTGCAGAAGTGTCTAGGTGGGATGCTTGTGTTCCTGCACACCCCAGTGCTTTACTGCTTACAGTTTGTCCATACTGTTGTGGTGATGACCCAGCCTGGGCCTGTGAAGAGTAAGAATTCCCATGGCTCTGGATTTTCCTGCAGCACTTGCTGTGGAGGAACTGGGACGGCAGGAGTGTCCCAAGATGCTTATCTTTATAGTGAAGTTTGATTTGTCTTACATAAGAGCTGCTTGTGATAACTCAGAGGAATTTGGCTGCCTCAATCTCTGAAGCAAAGATTCTTGTAGCCAGAGCTTCTGTAATCTCTCATGGGAGAGAATGGAGATATCTGCAGCCCTGTGGGCAGAGGTGCTAATGGTTTCTGGAGACAAACAGCTCTGTTCTCATGGGCTTGGTATCAAGGAAAGGCAATACGAGTTGTAAGGGTCTGCTGCTTGTGGTTTTCAGGTGAAATCGTGGCCAAATTGTGATGGAAATGCCTTCTCACATTGGCTGATGGGCACTGCTCAAGAGCTTCTAAGACCCTACTGACCACAAGAGCAATTCTGGTCAGTCCTCTCTGTTTTGGACAGGATGTAGCATGGCATGAGGTACAGGACAGAGATTTTCATTATGTCAGTACCAAGACACCAAGGTCTTCGGATCAGAACTTCCAGGGTGATTAGCTTAGGTTTGCTGCCTGTGGATTCACCTGGCTATGCCATGTATCTAAATCCAGAGCCTGTGGTTGCACCCAGGACTCTGTGCTGCACTGGTGACTGGAGGACTTGTGTAGGGGTTAGGAGGGATGAAGTGATGGGGAATGGAAGCTTGCCTGTGATCAGGACACTGAGGGCACTCACTATACAGCTCTGCTCTCTTCCAGGACTATGGGATCCCAAAGCATTTTGGTCTCTTCTATGCTATGGGCATTGCTCTGATGATGGAAGGGGTGCTCAGTGCCTGTTACCACGTCTGCCCTAATTACTCCAATTTCCAGTTTGGTAAGCTGAGTTTCCTTTCTCCTTTTGAGCTGAAGCTAAGATTTGCCATGTTCTGTCTCTTGCTGAGTTGCTGACATTTCCCATCTCTCTCTACCCTTGCACGTCTCCCTGGAGCCTGCCTGTTTCAAAGCTCAGTCAGGAGGTTGTGATGCCCTGTGGGCACTTATTTTCTGATCCCCTTTAGTTTTTGTTGCCCCAGAGCACAGAAGATGTGCTGCTGCAAGGTGGCAGAGCACAAAGTGCTGTACAATGTAGTGCAGCAGCAGGGCCAAACCCAAGGCTGGCAGGCACAGATCCCTGATGCTTTGTGTATCCTTGGAGGAGCAGCTTTCTGGGGCCACTGGCAGTAAGTGTTCACACTGTTTCTGTTGTGTCCCTTCACAGACACCTCCTTCATGTACATGATTGCAGGGCTGTGCATGCTCAAGCTCTACCAGACCCGGCACCCAGACATCAATGCCAGCGCCTACTCCGCCTACGCCTCGTTTGCTGTGGTGATCTCCCTGGCTGTCCTTGGAGTGGTAGGGCTCCCTCTTACTCCACTGCTTCTCTGGAAGGAGGTGGCATGGCTGGGAACATAGCTGAGGTGTGAAAATGACTGGGGAAAGCAGCAGAGTAGGATGAGAGTGTGTTAAGGAGCTGTCAGCGTTTGAATTCTCACTTCTGCTGGGCTTTCCTCCTTCCTTCTCCTGAGATTTCAGGCAGGAGAAGAGCAGAACAGTTTCCTCTAGGTGGGCTCTTGTTTTGGACTTTGCCCACCACATGCCATCCTTCTCAAGAGGAGAAATTCAGATATTCATGTCCAAGTGCATAGATGGTCTTCCTGGGGCATGATTCACATTTGAGGAAAGAGGGGTGAGGCTGGCTGGGCTTCAAGACAGGTATCTTATACCTAATTGCTTGTGCCTATTTCTCTCTTTGGAATACTCCATGTTATTTGTCACAGCTCCTGCAGTTGATTTTCCTATCTCTGGAGAGGAGCAGGGTTAGGATGATATATGGGGGCTCTCAGGCAAATTCCTGGAGTACCTGCCTATGGAAGGGCACTGGAGCAGAAGCTACAAGACTTTTCCTGTTTGCTGCTTTGCCTGTAGCATTGCAAGTACTGAGCTGGGCTCGCCAGGATCTTCAAGCTGTGCTTTTCCTTGGAAGTCTCTGCTTCTCTTCTTTTGACGGACTCATTTTCATTTATCAGTAACCAGGCAAAATCCATGGAATTGTTGCTCTGAACTAGCAGCTAGATCCCAGTGGGCTGTTAGCTCCTCACTACCAAATAATGCAGACGTCTCTGTTTACATGACTGTCTGTGGGATAAGGCATGCAGGAGGAGCTGGTGACCTTGGGACTTCCCAAGAATCTCTTGATAGGTGTGGTAGATCTTGACAAGGTTCAAAACACTGAGACTTTATTATGGATTGCTCTATCTTTTGTGGGATGCTTTGAAGCTGTTCAGTGGACCTTGAAAGCAGCATGTCTCCCTTGTTCCATTCATGGACAGGTGGCTTTTCTGCTTGCTTTTTGGTGTGTGGGTTTTTATCTCTGCCCACACAGAGTGAAAATTTCAGGAGAATGCTTTGCCCCAGGGTAGGGAAGTGGTCACAGCTTGATTGGCAGATCAGATTTTCTGGTCTCCTTATTGTATGAATGAAAAATTAGGATTTTAATGTAGCATTAACCTGTGCTTGCAGGTTACTTCCAGTCCTTAAATAAAATGAAAATTCACTGTAGGAGCAATTGCCTGCAGAGCACTTCTGTCCTTTTTGGTCTACTTTAGTACAGTTGTTAAAGTAAGAGTTGGTTCCCTGTCTGCTTTTGTAAAAATCCACCTCCTGGCCAGAGAGCTGCTATTCAGCTCAGCAGAGACAGCTTGCTTGGCCTTGTATTTCTGTTCCCTGGGCCAGTGCTGTCCATCCAGTCTTGTCTAAAAGGGCATTCAGAAAGAATGGTCTCCTCTCCAGGATGCTGAGCTAATCTTGCTTCTCTGGAGTTCATTTTGAATTTATAGATCTGTTTTCTGGTTGAAAGAACTAGGGGTTTTTTTTCTGTGTTCAGTGAGGTTGTTTAATGTCCCATGGTGATACAGCACAGGAAAGGATTGTCCTGCTGAGAGAGGGCTCAGTTTACTTTTAAAATGTTTTTGCTTTCAGGTATTTGGAAAAAATGACATGTGGTTCTGGCTTATTTTCTCACTGATCCACATTTTGGGCTCCCTGGCTCTCAGCACCCAGATCTACTACATGGGTCGCTTCAAGATCGGTGAGTGCTGTGACTGAACCGTCTCCTCCCGGGTGCCTCCTGTCTTCACCTCTCCTGCCTCTGCAGCACAGTCCTGTGGCCCCTCTTCTGGGCTACCCTGTCCTCTCATCCAGCTGATGCTTTCCTGGCCTCTGAAGTCCTTGTGCTCCTGATTCCCAGTGGGAGTGAGCAGGAGCTGTTTGCTTTGAGGAAGCTGCAGTTCTCCCTAGTGCTGTGGTACACCCTGTGTTGGGATGGGGGGAAGAGGGTCTGCTGGGGAGCCTGGCTCTTGTGCTCTGCTTAAACCTATTTCTTCTTCCTCTTCTGCCCCTATCTGCCTCAGATGACCCTGACTCAGGTAACCACAGCTTTCCTTGATTGTGCTGAGCTGCATGGATGAGTGTGGGGAAGCAGGATCGTGTGCCACCTGGGGTCAGCTCTTGGGAAGTGAAAGCAGTTTGCCAGCAGCACTGCCAGTCCTGTTCCTTGGCAGGAGGGCAGGGATCCAGCACAGGAGAGCTCAGATCTTGGTGCAGGAGCCTTTTCAAGCTCTATGTTGTGGCTAAAGGGGAACGTGTGTATTCATGCATGTTTGTCCATCCCTGCTGCCACTGATGGCTCTGCAGTGAAGCTTCTGCAATGATTTTGAGAGTAGGAGTGTCTCGAGTGTGCTCTGCCCCTCTAGTACCCTCTAAAGCCTGTGGGACTTGTTTCTACTGTTTCCCTGCTTTGGCAGCTTATTCCATGGAAGGACCTTTTCCCCCTGTGTGACATACACACACCTCTTCCAGAGATGGGGTTGCAAAGCCAGCCTCTTTACATGCATAGGCAGGGCCTGTGTGACTTCAGGGCAGTGCTAGTGTAGAGGGGGATTTTAAATTTATTTTTGTTGTAACCTGCTGTTCTGGCCAACTGCCCATCTACATCCTGTGGTGGATGCCCTCCTGCTCAGCACAGACTGCTTCCAAAGGGCAAGACATGAATCTCCTGACACCTTGGGCTCTCTGTTGTTAGCTGGTGGGTGTCAGCTTCTTCCTCACAGGCATTTTAGAGCTCAGTGTGCCTACTGTCCTGGCTTTCTACCCTTTCCTTTGACAGACATGGGCATATTTCGGCGAGCAGTGATGGTGCTGTACACGGACTGTATCCAGCAGTGCAGCCGACCAATGTACATGGTAGGTGACTTCTCATCCCAGCACCTCTCTGCAGTTCCTCACTTCTTTAGGCCATGTGCAGAGGAAAGAGGGGGGGCTGTTTGAAAAAGTGATGGTCCTTGCTCCCCTTGTTCTCCTTCCCCCAAAATGCCTGGTTAAGTGTAGGTCTCTGGTCTCTGCTGGAGTGGTTTACCCCCAGCCTCCAGGCCTCCCCTGATCTCAGCCTTGGTGAGTAAAACATCAGAGCAAAGGTGATACAAGTGTGGCAGGATGTGCCTTTGCACTTGCTCTCTGGGAGCATCCAGAGGAATCATCCATTCAGAGGAACAGGTAGGAGGCTCTGTGCAGTGCAGCCTCTCTGGGGAAGGCTGCAGCTATTTTGGGTCTGTGGCTTAAGCAAAAGCAATTGTCATTTCTGCAGCACCTCAGGGCAGATAGCAAAAAGTTAAGAAAAGGTGGCTGTTACCTTGTGTCCCACTGATTGCTTTCTCCCTTAGCAAAGAGTGCTAATTAGGGCTTGAAGCCACATGGAGTTGTTATCCATAAGCCTTCTTAATTTTTTATTTATTCTCCCATCTCTGAATAAGCAAACCTGGTCCACTCAGGCATGAAGTAAGCCTGGCCAGCCTGAAACAGCTACATCATGAAAGCAGCTGTAAGCATAAGTGCTCATGCCCCACAGATATAACCCTTCTGCCTGCTGTTGTTACAGTGCTTCCCCAGCTAATGGTGAGATGGCAAGGAAAAAAAGGCTCCCTGAATATGTGCAGGATGCTGTCCAAAGCTTCCCCTGCCACCTCTTTAAAGCATGTCCTTGCTCTCTGCAGTAATTCTTTTGTAAAACAGTGGGAGGGAAGGAATCTAGCTAGAAAAACAGTAGAAGCAGTCAAAGGATTCACAGAACCTCCTGAGGCTGATTCCTTAAGTGCTGAGCTTGTCCTTTTTTAGATGTTTAGTCTCCTTACAACACTTTCTTAAAATTTTTGAGGGTCAGAGCAGTTTCCATCTGATGAAAGCTCCCACAGAGTCAGGTGCATGTGTGTTTGCAGGAACTGAACTCCAAATCCTCACATAATGCTCTCCTGAATTTCTGAGGCAAAGGCCTTTTTGCATATTCTTTTCACTTTATATGATCATCAGTGTCTTTTCTCCAGGACAGGATGGTGCTGCTTATTGTTGGGAACCTGGTGAACTGGTCCTTGTAAGTATTGGTGTGTTGGTGCTTTGTATTTGTGCATGTGGGCAGCAGGATTTGGTACTGGGACATGGTGACCTGGAGTGATGGGGAGATGCAGCAGTGTCTGTGCAATAATCCTGACATGTTTGGGCAGGCAGGCTGCTCTGAGGGTGGTTGGCAGATCCATGGGATGCAGTGCAGCACTAGAGCTACATGGAGCATCCCCTGAGCATTTCAGCTGGGGGTGTCTCATGGCTCGTGTTTCAGGGAGATTGTGCAGGGACTGTGCTGCTGTGTTGTGCTTCCCACAGAGCTGGGAGATCTCTGGCACAGCCAAGGTGCAGGAGACCTGGCAGACACAGTCACAGAGCCTGGCTGAGCAGTAACTGCATGGGAGGGATCATCTCTCAGATGAGACCTAAAATTGTTGCCCCAGGCTCTTGCTTTTCACTGAAGCTGCTTCTCAGGGACATGCTTTCTTCCAAATGTACAGGTTTGGGGCCAGATCCTACTGAGGGAGATGTGTTTGGCCATGGGTTAGAAGCAATCCAGGGCCCTTGCCTCACCTCTGGGGTCTCCAGTTGCTTCAGCAGCTGATCATGGCTAAATGTCCTTGGCTGGGAGTAGAGGCAAACAGTGCATTTCCCCCAGGGAATTTGGAAGCTGTGGCACTGGTGCTGTGTCCTGCAGTCCTGGTGGAGGGTAGAGCAGTGTGTGGCTGTCACTTTGGGGATCTACCCTGTCCCCAGTGAAGGAAGCTGCCTGATGTCCCTTCTGTCCTCTCCCTCAGTGCTATCTTTGGGCTGGTGTATCGGCCCAGAGACTTTGCCTCCTACATACTGGGAATCTTCATCTGTAACCTGCTGCTCTATCTGGCCTTCTACATCATCATGAAGGTAATGGGAAGCACTGGGGCTCCTGGCTCCAAAGGGGAAGGGATGGGCCTTTTTTCTGGCTGCAATTTGGGTTCCTGTGGTGCTGCAGAGGGATGTGAAGGGACCTTTGTGTGGCTCTTGCTGGGACAGGGTGTTGGGGAGGGATGCTGTGGAGCCATTTCAGGGGTGGCTGGGCTGTGTCTTTGAGGGGTGGGCAGCCCTTCCCAGATGCAGGTAGTACAGGCTGGTGTGTGAGCCCTGTGCATGGCTCTGTGCCCTGGACAGAACTCAGGGTGTGTCCCTGTCTGCAGCTCCGCAGCTCTGAGAGGCTCCTGCCCATCCCCATGTTCTGCATCGTGGCCACAGCAGTGGTGTGGGCAGCTGCCCTCTACTTCTTCTTCCAGACCCTCAGCAGCTGGGAGGTAAATTTCCCTTTTACTGTTCTTCTGTCCATCTTTTTCTCATCATCTTTCCTTCCTGGTGCTTGTTTTGCACAAAAATGACTCTGGAGAAGAGTCTTGGGCTGCTCATGGGGAGCTGAAAGGGTTCAACTCCTGTAGCAGACTTGTGAAGGGAGCATGGGAGGCTGTGCTGAGCCAAACATGACTGTAGCTGTGTAGAGGCTGTTTATAACCAGGTGATATGGAGATGACTGGTCCTTCCTAGGGATAAAGGAGGAGCTGGGGATCTGGAAGGGAAACTAGGAAAATCCTAACTGGGAAAATCCTAATCCTTCCATCCTCCAGGGATGGAAGACATCCCTGGAGCAGATGGCCACCTGGAGTCAACCAGGTCAACCTGCTGGGGTTGTTAGGGCTCTTGGTGGCCTGGGAGCCATTAAATCCTGACTGGGTGCTTTCTAACAGGATGTCATATCCATCTCCATGGAAATGAGGGGCTTGTTACAGGGTGGTCTGGTGGAGGCTGTGCAACTTGTGCTATGCAGGACCTCAGAAGTGGAGACCAGAGGGTTCCCCTTGTATGTGGGTTGTGGTCCCAGATCCATTTTGAGGTCCAGTTATAACATTCTGTTGTTTCTGGCCTGCCTGTACCACATTTCTGGCCAGCACAGCAACTTTTCCTGGATCCTGCTTGGAGGGTTAAGACAGGGTGATTCCTGCAGGGTCTGATGTGGCCAGCAAGGCCCCAGTAGGGGTGGATATCAGGTCCTGACCCCCTGCCTGCCCTCCTAGGAGACTCCAGCAGAGTCCCGGGAAAAGAACCGGCCCTGCATCCTGCTGGGATTCTTTGATGACCACGATGTCTGGCACTTCCTCTCCGCAGCTGCCTTGTTCTTCTCCTTTCTGGTGAGTCCTGCTGAGCCTCCCACTCTGCTGGATGGCCTCTCCCTCTCCTTTCACCTTGCTCCCCTTTCTCCACATGGAGCTGTGCCTGCTCCAGAGCTCCACAGAAGTGCCTCAACTCCTCTGCTTGGCTCTACCTCCTGACATCCTTCACAGTGGGATGCTCCTTGTCCGTGGGATCAGGCTTTCTCCTTTATCTTATTTCTCTCCCAGTGCCTTCTGGCCTCAAATTCCCTCTGGGGCTGTGGGTCACACAGCTGTTGTGGGGAAGCTGAGGGGCTGCTGCTGTGGCCAATGACTCATGGATTTGTGAATACCTCCCATAAAGGCAAGGCATGAAGATCTGAAAGGAAGACCTCCCTGGGCAGCAAGACCTGACTGGCTTTCACTTTCCTCCTCAGGTCCTGCTGACCCTGGATGATGACCTGGATACGGTGCGCAGGGACAAGATCCCAGTGTTCTGAGTCCCCAGGACAGGGGCACAGAGGTGTCCCAAACCACTCTGCCAAAGGCTCTGGGCCACTGTGTCTGTGCAGAATGAGCCTGTTTCCATGGCCAACAGCCCAGTGGGAGCAGGGAACTGGATCCCCAGCAGGCATGGAGGGGTGCTGTGGCAGTGAGGTGGGACCAGGAGGGAAGATGATGTTACTCCTTTCCCGCCACATCCTGTGGGGCAGGCTTGATCCAGAGGCCAAGGCCCGTGCACAGCCCTCTGGTCTGTGGGTGCAGTGGGTGCTGGGGCCAGTGAGGGGGGAGGAAACAGGAGGGAGGCATGTCAGAGACCTTTGCTTCCCTTCCTCCCTGCTGATGTGCTCCACTTCCTCTCTGGTGAGCAGGCTCGAGAAGTGCCATGCCAGCCTTCCTGCACAGGGAGCTCATGTCTGCACCTGCAGTCTGCTGCCCTCAGGGGTCCCTTCAGCAGCCCAGGGGGAGCATTTGGTTCCTGTACTGCAGCAGCCAAGGGAGAAAAGGACTCCAAACTGAGGTGGCAGTGGGGGGACTGTGTTTTCTTTTTTCCTCTTTTTGTTGGAGAGACTCCTTCTGTAGCTGGTGGGGAGCCACGATACCGGGGCTGCAGCGTCGGTCGGAGGTGGTGAACTAGAGCTGCCCGTGAGGGCTCTGCCAGGCTCAGAGCCTCCTGCCTTGCTCTCTTGCAGCCTCTCTGTCACTCCTGTTGAGCAGCCACTCCTCTGGCAGCTCCTGCTGGCACTTGGCAGTGCTGTGCTCCCTGTCAGGGCACCACGAGTGCTCTCCTCGAGCGAGCCTGCCGGAGAGTGCACGGCAAAGGCACAGCCTCGTGTGGCAGCCCTTGGCTCCTGCTGGTGCCTGGCCAAAGGGACAGGGTGGGACAGGGAGGCTTGCCAGCAGCTCAGACTCTCTCCTCTCATGAGCTTGCCTTGGACAGCCTTGGCAAAGTCGGTTCTCTTACAGGCTGGGAGGATGAAGGAGATTTTGGGGCAATTGGTGTTGAGCTCTTTAGCTAAAGATGTGGACCAAATTTTCTTCTCCAACTTGTCCAAATCGGAAATGAGTTTTTTAATGGCTTCTGCATTCTTTCCAGTTTCTTAGTTATTTAAAAAACAAGAAGGTGTTAATTATTTCAGGCCTTGCATCTAAAATGGGACCTGTTTTGCTAATTTGCAATTAAAAAGTGTTCTTTGAGGCCTGCTGTCCTTATTCTTGTCTCCCTGAGCATTTTTACTTTGGTGTATGTGCATGTAGCCAGTGATGCAAAGGTTTCATTCCACTTCTGCTTACTAAAGCAGGTGACTCTGGTGATGTTTTACTCCAAGAGTCTGTATCTCCTTGAAGAGTTTTGCACCAGCTATTTTTTATTTTTTCCTACGTTGGAGTTTGTTGAGATGGTCAATAAAATGGATGTTCCTGCTTCCCTGCTCTGCAGGTTGATCTGAATTCTTCTTGCTCCTGCTCTCAGCAGCAGCAGAGACAGCAGTCAGGGCAGAGGGGTGCCCAGTGGTGTCACCCTTGGGACTGTCACAGATGTTTCTGGAGCCATAGGTGTGGATGACCTGCTTGTTCTCTTAACCAAATTGCCTTTGTAAGGCTACATAAAGAACAGACACTCTTGTTTGTCACTGTAGTCCCTTGGGCAGGGTGAGGAGAGGGCTGGAGGAGGAATGACACAAGAGGCTGCCAGCCTTTATTTTCCCAAGCAGAGCTGTGCTGCTCTGAGGGTGTTGGGGTAGCTGTGCCAGACTGAAGGAGGACCTCTGTGCTCCCAAATTTGTCCAGTTCTGGGGACACATAAAATATACTTTCTCCCTGTGTTTTCATAATCTGTGGTCTCAGACCATGTTTCAGGCTTGTATTTGTTTCTAGACAGGAAGCTGGTTATCTTCTCTAAGTTGAAATGTGAGGAAAAAATAATGTTGAGCAGCAGTTGGAAGGCTCAATGTAGGAGGTAGAACAACATATGGGCTCGCTGTGCTGAGCAGAGATGAGCACAGCATGGAATGGTGAGGTGGTAGCAGGGAGGGAGAGGGAGGCTGGGGAACAGCACAGAACAAACAGAAAACCATGACAGGATTCAATTAAATACAAGGAAAGGCACCTCAAACCTGAGAGATGGCAGGAAGGGTTGGAATCGTCTCCCTGCTGCTTCTGTGCTTCCAGCTTGCTGTGTCAATTTTTAACATTTCCTCTTAGCTTTGCCCTGCCTGCTGGGCACTGTTGGTGCTTCAGCTCTCCCACCTGGTGGCCCCTGAGCCCTCCATGGCTGTGGCTGCTGGGGGGCCTGGCTGGGCACTTGGGCACTCTGTGCTCCCTGCTGTCCTAGGCACGCTTGGCTCTGCAGCCCCTGCCCCAGAAATGCAGCTTTTCTTGGCTGCTGCTGTCCTTGGGCCCTGCCCTTGGGCAGGAGGAGCAGCTTGGTGGCTCATTCCCTCATTTGCAGGGGTGATGCTGTGCTTTCCTCACCTTGCTCTGCTCACAGAGGGAGACAGACGTGTAGGGGCAAAAGCAGAGCAGCACCGTGGAATTGGGTGTTGGGAGGTGAGGAGGCCTTTTTGCTGCCCATGGGCTGGTAGTGGAGTCCCTGCTTCCCTCTGCTTATCCCAAGCTGTGCCCATGCAAGTCACAAATCCTGAAAGGGAAATAACGCTGCCATGGGCAGGGACACCTCCCACTTAGAACAAGTTGCTCAAACACCCATCCAACCAGGCCTTTCTAAAGATGGTGCATCCACCACCTCTCTGGACAATCTGTTCTCATATTTTACCACTCTCCTTGTAAAAAACTTCTTCCTTACATTTCATATACTCCGTTTTCTCAGGAAACGTAGGTAAAGTTGTTCAGCCCAGTGCAAGTGAAAGGAGAAGGAAACAGCTTCTGTACAATACTGACATCCCCTCACAGGTTAGGAAAAGCACCAGGGTCGTGTGAGCTGTTACAGCTCCCCCTCGAGCCTCTGGAGTGGCACAAGAGCAGCCAAGGCAGGGGGAATGCACTGAGCATGAAAAAGGAAGGCAGCTCCCTCGTGTCCTGTTTCCCTTCCCCTCTATGACTGAACCTGGTTGCCACTGAAGGAACAAAAGCCCCTCTCTCTTACTATTAAACTTCAACCTTTTTAAAACTAAGACCTTCCCTAAAGGCAACTTCCACACCTGCAAGAATTTTGAGGTTTACAAGCCAGGTTTTCTGGAGCCCCTGAAAAGAATTGTTTCCTAGGAATTCAGTCAACTTCAGCATTGTGCAATCTCCCAAAAAAGCCTTTACTTACCTTGCAGGGTATAGGTACTGCTCTCATCCAAACTGCATCCTTTAGCTTTAAACTGTGACAGAACAACTGTCTTAGACCACTTTCAAAGCAATGCGAAGCATTTTATAAAATGAAGTTGTATCTCAACAGTGATCAATGTCACTGGGGCAGGGACAGCACCTGCCATGTATTTTTTAGATACTACACAATCAGTATTTATTTATTCTGAATTAGGTAGTTTTATATCTCCAGCTAATAGGGTGCATTACTCTGGTGTATGCAGAGAGTGTACATCAGTGGAAAACTCTGACTGTAAATTCCCAGTCTCAAAGCCAAGCTTTTATTTTTACCTCTTCTTTAGAGTGAATGGCATAGCTTTATATGGGGAAAGAAAGAACACAATATTCAGAGTGATTTTCTCTTTTTTTAATAAAATACTATCATGTTCATATCTATACAAATAATTATTACAACTATTAAACAAAGTATTACATTTAACAATAGAAATCTCAGAACTCTGAACAAGATCATGGTTTGGGATATTTACACCTGAATGCAACACATTTGTAAAAAGATGTCAAAATAAACAGAGCAAGATCTTATTTACAATTGGAAGATGATGTTCCTGTTCATTCATTATAGATTTCTACTGCAGAGTTCCTATTTTCCATTACAAAATAGTAAGGACTTTCCACTGGGACTGTATCCAAGTCACTTACAGCTGTATAAAACAGAAGCACAGCAGAATACTCTGGACTGAATATAAATAATTTACATTGTGGAGGGCAACAGCATCTTTGATTAATCTCCTGTGGCAAAATCCATACTTGCTTCCCTTCTCACAGTGAGCAGGCAGGAACAGGGTCCAACCCCCCACGAGCTCTATTGTTTCACACTTGTGATTGCCAGAACAGCAGCACATATTGCAAACTTGAAAACCTTCTCATAAAGATAGTTCTGGTGAGGCAGAAACAAAAGCACTTTTTAAAAAAAAATTATCTCAGAAAAACTAGTATCAGCAAATAATGAACGTTGTTGGTGTAACTGAGCCAGGCTTGAATTTGTACTGTCAGGTTCAAAAACTTCTGCTAGATCTTTCACCAGTTCAAAGAGGAATCTTCTCTCAGTGGGAATAAAGCCTTGTGCTCTGAGGTTTCCAATTTGTGGATTGCAGAGGCAGTAGGAAATTGCAAACACCCTCACACAAACCTGTGTCTGCTACCCATGCTGGGTGATGGCAGTGGGAGAAGGGAACAGCAGGAGGTGGAAACAGGTCAGGTGACAGCAAAGAATGGATCTCCTTATAGCACTGTATCAGAAAACAAAACAAATATGACTGATGTGGCACAAACAGAGCCAATGCTACTCTGTCTTGCCAGGGGAAGTTGGATAATTATAAAGTGATGAGCATGAAACTTACTGGGGGAACAGCAAGAGATGACAGCTCTTGGCACACTCAGCATCCAGGAACAGTGGGAGTCTGACTAAGCCCTTGAGCCAGGACTGCACAAGTACCTCAGAAAAGGTGAAAAGACAACAGGAGACCAGAAATAATGAAATTGCCCCTCTTCTCCAGCCATGGCCTCTGCAAGTTGCCTTGCCACATGACTTGTTTCCTGCAGCAGCACTACAGACACCAACCACAGCAGCAGCACAGCTTTAAAGTGCAGTAGGAAATCTGTGCAAAGTTCTGGAGGCTCAGGACTAGCACCTACTTTTACTTTTTTTCAGAGAGGTGCTCTTCCACCTGGGGAGCAGCACAGTGACAAGCTGGAAGTCTGAGCTGGAAATCCCATTCCAGCCCCCAGTTCAAATCACTCCAGTTCTCTCTTTCTTTAACTGTTCCTAAATGAGGTCCTTTCTCTCAAGAAAAAGGTATATAAATATTAACACATTACTATTTTATTGCCTGCTTTCAAATTAGTCTATCTCTGCTCTTACTCTCCTAGGCTGTTTAAGGGATTAATATGGACATACATGCAATCCAGCCCAATATTATTTACCATTGTTTGTTGAAGTCATATAGGCCAAGCTGAAATGCACAGCCACACAATGCCTGGCAGCTGAGGCACTCCCACTCCAGAGTGGCTGCCCAGCCTTTCCCTTCCACTGCTGATTTTTCTAAATTAAGCAGTACTGGGTATTTTTCCTTCCTTCAAAGCCAAAACAAATCCTGTGTAAGTAACCTTGAAAAAAGTACTATGGAAGAGAAAATGCTATTCTCAGGCTAACAAATCGCAGTTAAACTCACAAAATC